AGAGGACAGAATTGTTGGATGTCCACCACAGGTTCGAAAACCAGCTGACTGGATTTCCATTTCTATTTGTATTAACATTACTTCGCTCCTCTACTGGACTGAGTCTTTTTTTAGGAGACGAGGGTGAATCCGGGGACCCTGGACCTCAGGGTCGAAAAGGAGTCGCCGGTCCTCCAGGTGACCCTGGTCAACGTGGACCCCCTGGCGACATGGGCTATAAAGGTGAGTACTGCCCGCGCTGGTAGCGAGCGCTTTTGCCTCAAGAGTTGTATAATTTGATTTAAAGAAAAAATTCACTAAATTTAGATTAGTTGCTTCGGTGCTTTGATATTTTATGGGTGGTTTAGGTACATAGAAGGTTGTGTGTTTACCTTAACAGGTAGCATTGGGAAGAGAGTTGGCTAAGGCTTACTTATATGACCCCCTAAATAGGATACAGAAGTAGGAGCGCCCTGTCGATGTAATAAAGTTTTCCCCGAGTATAATTAGGAGAATGCTGAATACTCCCGTTTCTTGATCCTAACCTTGGCCCTACATCGCGGCCCGCATCGTAACTTTACCCTAGCCCTGCAGGTAGCATTAACAATAACCCTAAACGGATTCCTAACCATTAACTTAATTTTAATCTTAACCTTATACCTAACCCATATTCCCCTAGAAAGTCTCCGCAATCCACCTGTATTGCCAACGGTTCCTGTGTTTGCCTCCTGTTTAGACGGGAATAAAAGAAATCTGTACCAAAAGTTGAGCCCTCAGTTATCTTTTTGTACGTTACTGACGAATATCTTCTATCGATAAGATGTCCTTCAGGGTATCACCAAGATACCAAAAGGCAAAATTATTGGTTTGTCATCGGCCTTTTTTGTGATGCTGAAATGAACGTTTGATTGACAACAACGTTTTCTCGAGGTCTGAGCTTTTTATCATTGGCTACTAATTTTGTTTGTTGGTTTTTTTCTCTTTTAGGTCGTAAGGGTGCTAGAGGTCCCCCTGGTCGTGCCGGAAATAGTATACAAGGAGCTGAAGGTCTTCCAGGCGATGATGGACCCAAAGGTGAAAAGGGTGAACCGGGCCCCGAGGGTACCAAAGGTGTTCGTGGAGAGATAGGTAGGCCAACAGTTGGATCTTTATTGCCTCTTAACCACTTCCCTCGGGTAATTTATTGAAGTCTGTTTTCAGTCCGTTCCAAAAGCTCTTCTATGTTGTCTTTTGTGAGAGGAGGGACATCCTAAAGGACTGTATTGTTGATATTGCTTTTTAATC